GGGATTTTGCATGTTTCCCCTGTCATGCAGATTTCCTTCTGCAGTACATAGTGTATGATTTTGTTTGTGCACAGCAATGGGCTGGCATCCCGTGGTGCAGGGCTCTTCAAATCTGGACCTCAAATTCCAAATCCAGGCCTTGTTTTCAGTTCTCCCAGGTAGTTAGTTTAATCATTACTGATTCTGATTGGTCAGAGGCTTCACACCTGGCTCACAGGTAAAGGAAGGCTGGAAAACCAGCAGTGCTCGGACGTCAAGGACCGTGATTTGAATAGTCCTGTCGTTAGTGGGTACACCCCCCTGCCCACCCGCTGTGTCCCCTGTACTGCCTGATCATCCCCTTTGTGGATTATAGACCACATCCCCTACTCCTGTCATGGGTCAGGGTCATGCCACAGAATGCCGTCCAGTTCACTGAAATGTTGTTACAGAAACAGTCTGTCTGATCCAAATTTAATATCACAAGCAGGGGTCTCATTGGCAGATGGGGTAGGTCTGCTGCCCTCTGGATGTAGGCATGTGCTATTACATCATCATTTGCTGTTCCACTGAAACTGGTCTCTGGCTTTGGCCCTCTGGTTTCACTGCCTATTTCAGCCTTAGGGGGGCCCTGTTCAATTTCACATTTTAAGCTACAGGTAATTATAGCAGTCAATTTGAAATTTGTAATTGAAATCGATCTTTCTTTTCTTCCCTTTGCTGTGAGATTAAATCGTAACAAGTTAAAGATGTTAGAACATTTGCTTATTTTGTGATACTTTATGCCAAAGACTGGGATCATTTTCATTACAAATTTTTGTCTACAAATAGCAGAACACTGACCATGTCATATGAATAATTTGCTCAAACGTGAACTTGCCGTAAAAAAATATTAGTTCAATTCTTTATATAGCACCTTTGACAACACAGGTGCCCCAAGGCATTTAGTGTGTGGTTAAACACACAATACAGTATATAGACACAAGCAAAACGACGGAGAAAAAAATGCCAGAAGACAACAGACACAGGGTAAACATGGAGTAAACACGTAGTACGATTACTGTACTATTTAGCACACAAACAAAGTGTGTGATAACAGGCCAAATGTGCACAAACACACAGACAGACACAGCATGACACAGACAAACTCACTCGCTGTGCCGCATTCACTGGCCGATTGACAGAGCTGGGCGCCAGCAGGCCTTCAGCCTCTGGAGGGCGATGCTGAGTTCCCCAGGGGGGAGGTTTGATCGCTGTGTGAGTATGGCAGCCACAGCTAACAGAGCTGCCAAACGGCAGAGGTGGAGGATACCATTATTCTCACCTATAAATAGAGTCCTGACCACCGACGTGTGGGTGATCAGTTACTCCAGCATGCAGGGGGAGCCTCAGACCTCATGCCTGGCAGCTTCAAATGCTACAGCAACCTTCAACAACACGGGTGTCTTCAGTGTGCAAAACAAGCTTATTGTGTAGCATGCGCTTGTAAGCATACGAAGATCAGACGCAGGTTTGCTTAGTTTAATACAACAAATACACATATTTCTGTGGATAAGTTGCCACAGCATCATCAGGTCAGTGGTAGACAGGGAACAGGAATGTCTACACAGATATCACTCTATCGGGCCGTCTAGTGTGTCCATTTTGCATGTTAATAAGGATGGACAACACAGATTAGATTTATTGATTTTTTGATTACAGCTAGTGGGAACCTGCACACTGACTGCTGGATGGATGGTGATATAATGACTGTCACAGGACCAGCCTGGCTAAAGCGACCAGACGCTGTAGCGGAAACTGCAATACGTATATTAAATTCACAAACAACAGTGATATTTTAAAATATTATTTGTTAAATGTCACTTAATGTAACATCATTTACATGCTGAAGAGTCTTTAAACTATGATTACTGTAATAATAATAATAATAATAATAATGCTTAGAATGTCAGGCAGCTTCATATCATGCTCTCTTCTAAAATTGAAACATTTTATTATATGTCAAGCAGTCAAACTGGCCTTTCTGACTGTGAGGGCCTGAGTTAGCAGCATTATAGTGTTTATTACTTCATACCAGGGCTCACCAACCATTTTTGAAACTGAGAGCTACTTCACAGGTACTGAGCCATACGAAGGGCTACCAGTCTGAAACACCCTCCTAAACTTATCTAAACTTCATGCATAATAAACATGTTTTAAATGCTTTTTTTTAAGATGTTGTCATTTTCAAATCTATATAAATGCAAATGCGATTAAAGGAGAATAGAAACAGGATAAAATGAAATTTTAGACGCTGCTCACTGGTGAGTTGTGCTATTTTTAAGAACAGGTCCGCGGGGCGACTCATGTGGACCTTGGGGGCATCCTGATGCCCGCGGGGCACCATGTTGGCGACCCCTGCTTTATACCAACACCCCACCTGCTGGATAATTATGTGAAAACGACACCGCACCATTACCATGAGGTAATGTCAATTAGAAGGTCAGAGGTCACTTCCTGTCCCGTCTCTTCAGCACTCCTTCGACTGGGTCATGTGGGTGAGATATAATGACAGGCACATACAGCGGAGCTGCTATGTTAAAAAAAACATCTTTTATTTCAAATCACTACGGTTTCTCTGCAGGACAGCGTTGGTACATAAACAGGCGAGTCGTAAACAACCGCTGCTGGCTGGTACAAAACTAAAAAATGTATGATACACTATTTACAGCTAGGACTGTAGTCCTGCGGGTTTAGAATACAGTAATCTTACATCCAGTGGCCCAAAAAACAGATCTCCACCATGTATTGCACTGTTTATAAGCAGTGACCACAATGAAACAGTCCAGATCAAACTGACCAGAAAAAAACTCCCACAAACAACTCAAAGGATACAGGATGTGTCTGTCTGTCGCTTGATGCATGTGTATCTTAATGGGAAAATTGACTGTACAGGCGGTGTCTGTATGGACACCCCAAAAACAACCAGCAGATATGCGGATTACTGTGATTCACCTACAACAGCTTTAAATACACTGACCAATGAGCAGTGGGCATATCGTTCATGTGCAGTCAGCAAGCACCAATAGTTCTTCTTACAGAAATATTGTGGTAAAATACTATGGATACATGAGTGTGCATAAATTACAGCTCATTCATTTACATATTACTATATTACCTTTATTTTACATTATATTGTATATTGTCTGTGTATCGTAAAATGAGTTTGATGTAATGAGAATACATGTAAAGAATTTGGTCATTCATATATTTCTAGTGAATATCTTGTTTTTTTATTTTACAGCATAGTGGCAAGTATTACTTTATATAAAGATAAAGCAATAATCAAAATTGCCCAAATAAATAGACAAACTAACAAATAAAAGATAAGGCAGTAATTATATACCTACTCTTGGCTGGGGTAATTAGCAGGACTGACCAGAGATTGTAAAGGTTAGAAATTCACTGCTTCAAATATTAGAGTTATATAAACACACTAATACATGGTGTTTTTATTCAGTGGTTAAGTTTCACTGCATTAGATGCCCCCCCCCCCCCTCCCCAGGTGTGATTCACACTGTGCCATTCCGAGTACATCAATACTGAGGGTCCACAGGAAGTACTGATACTGAGTGTTACTCGTAGTCTTGTGTTGGGTCTCTACCCCCAGTCCAGAATCATCAGAAAGGATGAACGCTCACAAACACCACTCACATTTAGTGAACTTTAATGCCCCCATGTGGACAGTTCTGGTACTGATGAGTAGTAAACCTGCCCTAGTGTTAGTAAAACGATTCATATCTTCCCCCCCGCCAATCTGTAATGGTTTGCAACCTGGCGCATTCTGTTAGGGGGGAGGGTCATGCCCCCATACTCACATGACTAAGGAACCACTTATTTACTATGCAATGGAAATACTGTTTCTAAACAGTAAACAATTACACAAATAAAGTACGTACATCATGTTTCTCACAAAACATAGGATGAAAACTTTGGCTTCAGAACCCTCTGCTGTAGCAAGTGTGCTGAGTAATTACCATGGTTCTTAAAACACAGGATAGTCTTTTTGTTTTGGAATACTGTCAGCACAAGGATGGCCATTAGGGGGCAGCACTCACACACACTTTCTGTGAGGACTCCATGTAAAACACAAGGTAGGCAGGCCATTAAAGGCAGGTCAGTGCAATTTGTAGTCACATTTAAAGAATTATGACAATTACAAAAAAAAATACAAATAAAAACACCATAATTTACACAGACTGGCGTGCAGACTGCTGAGGTTGGACTCATGTGCATATCAAACAGAGGGGAAATGGAGAATCCTGGAGATGTGCTGCATTTCATACTGATACCTGAACAGCCACCATATCTGGATAGCCATCTTAGTACAGCACGATAACAACTCCATCGCAGGCCCTCGCACTTCTCAGACACAGGAGAGCGATGGCAGGACCAGGCGTGGAAAATTCCACAGCCCCTAATCTCTCAGCCGTCTTTGATCTCTCTTCTGCAAAGCACATTAGAAAAGAGCAACTCGAACAGCTGTGGTTTACAACACAGCTCAGGAAGTCTTCCCCCACACTGGATATGATCTATGTAAAAACGTCTTTCTGTGCTCATGGCAATGCCTAATGTTAAGTACCTCCATTGATAAAGATCTAGAATATTCTTCCCAGATTCACCGTTAAATAAAGAAGCTGAATTACAGAATCAGCTTTTTTAAGTAGCTTTTTAAGAGTTGAAACATGATTTTCCCATAATGCATCTGTGACCCCTCCAGTGTCGGTATGAGCTTTCCTTTGGTAGCAGAGCACCCTGGGAAACTGGGCCCCCTTAGGCACGCTGGAGTCAGATATATTTCCACATTTGTCAGTGCCCACCTGGGCATTGCTCTGTGGTCAGTCACTGGTCATGCTCTAAGGAGTGTCAGGATCAAGGTGCTCTTGTTCCTGTACATCAGCTTTAGCTTTGAGCTAAGGTTTGCCCTTGGGGTGCTGCAGGTCACCCATTCAACCAGCAGAGGGCACCTCTAAAACAAGACAGCAATCCGGAACCATCATCCCAGCAAACCTTGGCGGATCCCATCGCAGCCAGTGAGCGAGGCTGCTGTCCGTCCGCGTAAGTGCTCCTTCCCCGTGATTGGATTGGCTTCTCCGTGGCTTTTTGCGCCCCCCCCCCCTTCTCCGCGCCCATCTGTCAGTCCTCAGAGTGTGGCGAGGATTCGCGAGAGGGAGATGATGACTGTGAGGGCTGTCTGTCCCACGCCGAACACCAGCGCCTCCAAGGGCCCCATGTCCTTCCCTGCCACCCGATACACCCCAGCCACCGCGGCACCTGCGGCACGCAGACACGCACATGCAAACATACACGTGAGAACACAGAACCGACGACGGCTGAATGACAACAACTGACCGTTCTGCCCAAGCTGGGATAATAATTTCCCATAATGCACAGTATTTTTATTGTCCAACAGATATGTCAGGAACCTCTCAGTGACAAACCCTTTCAGTTGTGAAGAAAAATTAAAGTTTAAGAACACTTTCTAGTTCTGTTAAGAGCTCTGCCTAAGAAAACAAATGCCTTTAAATGTTAAAAACCCATGTTTTAAAGCACACAGACACATACATCATAGATCCATGGTGGCAATGGCATATGAGATAACTAGTGTTCATGCAAAGGCAGCTGATTAATCTAAACCAGCCTCAAATGACACACTGAAAGCAGGCCTTCCAGTACTAATTTTACATGGATTATTTTAAAACAACAGGATGCTAACTTTCCCAAGAAGGCATAGATGCTGGTTTCTGTAGCCTGAATTATTTGTGTCTGGCAGCCAAAGAGACAGAGACAGGGAAACAAACAGACTGGAGGTTGGTCAGCCAGATGTAGAAACAGACAGACAGGTGGGTGACCAGTCAGACAGAGAACTAGACAGATGGAAGGCTGGACAGCCAGATAAAAAAAACAGACAGACAGGCAGCTGGCCAGTCAGACTAAGTTACTGACAGACAGACGGCTGGCCAGGCAGGGGGAGAAACAGACTGGGAAACAGATAGACAGGTGACTGGCCAGTCAGATGGAGAAAGAGACAGAAATGTGGCAGGCCAGCCAGACTGGGAAACAGACAGACAGGCAGCTGGCCAGACAGAGAAACACACAAACAAGCTACTGGCCAGACAGCTGGAGAAACAGACATACTGGCAACTGACTATACAGAGAAACAGACAGACAGGTTTCTTTGTCATTCAGACAAAGAAATAGAAAGACAGGCGACTGGATGGCCACACAGAATTTTACAGACAGGTGCACCAAAGCTAGTGATGGTATCATGGGCAGTTGTACCTGGATTTGTGACAGAAAGGTTTCTAGGTCTGCTGCTGTACACAGAGAAAGGTGCTTAACCTTTAACTCATGCCAAACCAAATGCAAAGTACAAAAACCCAGGCACCGCAAACCCAAGGACCAAGAGAGAACAAAACAGGCAGGCAGACAGACGTGTGGAGCGGCGCGGGGGAGGAATGACTGACTGGTGATGACGGCTCCGCTGAGGGAGGCCAGGAATCCCACGCTGACCAGCAGCAGGGTGATGAGGCGTCCCCTCCGGTGTCTCTGCAGAGCCACCAGCATCAGCAGGCCCACAGCGCCGTGGAGCAGCAGAGACGAGAAGAGACACCAGAGGAAAACCCAGTACCACATCTCTGCAGGCACACAAACACATCGTTACCATATCACACATAAATACCAGCATGCACACCCACCAAAACCAGAGCCATGTTCACAAAACCACTACACCCCACTCCAAACACCATCCCACTGCACCCATTACAACCAGTAACAAAGAGAAAACTAACCAACCTAATTATCTTTAAATTATGGCTGTGTTATACTTTGTATGTAGAGCAGAACTTGCATTTGTAGTAGTCAATGCTGACTACTACATAACGGGGTCTCTTTAAGGGCCAGATATGGCTACATGTAAACACTGCTATCCCAACAGCCCTCTTTATTAAGCCCCGTTAAGCTAACAATGCACATTCGCTATACCCCATTAAAGGTATAAAGCCCATAATGCCTCTGTGCTGCTTCAGTTCCCATAATGCCCCTGGTTTGCTCCACAACATGTGTCCAGGCATTCTGAGGGCCTACAGCCCTACTAGCTCTCACTGCTCTCCATGGGAGAGTCTCTTCACTCAAGGCCAAGCAGGGAGGCTACTGAATTACGGATCCAATGGGGACACCCAGGATGAGTAATTCCGTTCTTTGTTTGCAAGCTGAGGCCCTGAGTCTGCCCTCTTGTCCCCTTAAGTCCCATTTAATTTCTCTGGCATTGTCTGCAGCCAGCCTTCTCACCATGCCACAATTAACTAGACCAGCACGTGCAGTAGTACTGATTATAACATGGTAATTCATATATCTACTAATCATTCTGAATGTGGTACGGCAGGCCCAGGTCAAGCTCCCTTCCCGACAGCAAAAGGATGGAGACAGAGGCAAAGAATTGGGCTTTGTTGTCAAAGCCTGTCTGCATCTTTCCAGTTTCACATAGCCCATCACTGCACATGCTGAATAGAAAATAAAATAAATGAAATAGTAAAACCACTATAGAAATTCGGAATACAGTGCCCTCTGTGATAAACAGCATGCATATATATGTGCAGGTATTATGTTTTTATACATATGCGGTGCTGTTGGGGCTTGGTGATGGAGAGCTTTAGGGCAGGTGCTGATAAGGCCGAGGCTCCTAACATCGCCTTCGGAAGGACGAGCACAGCGATCGCCGACCTCCCTGCTGTCCATGCCGGCGGCCATACCACGAAAGCCCGAGTCGCCGACATACTGTACCGGTGAAATGCTGGAGCGTCGGCACCGTGCCCTGCACCCACAGGCTCAGCACCTGCTGTACGGACAGGTTAATCGAGTAGTCCTTGTTCATGCTTCTGCCGCTCCCCTTGGTCAAGCTGCCGAGCGAGGGTCCTGATGCAGGCATGGAGGAGAGCGGCCGGACTGGCGTTTACGAGGCTTTCCCCGGCGATCTTTATCTGCGACGCCGGAGCATCTCGCCGGCCGGTTCCGCATAGGGGAAGGAAGAGCCGCCGCCTCGCCTGCGCTCCCCCTGTCCAGGATGCGACAGACGCAGGTTGGGGGCCATGATGATCGGCCGCACGATGCTCCGGTGTCGGTCCGCCTCGGCACCGATCGCTTAAAGGGGATGATCTCTTAAAGGGGAAGCCGCACCGAGCCGCTTCTCGGGGGAAACGGGAGACAATGGACGCTGATCGACAGCGAGTTCCAGGCGATGTTGGGAAGACTGGCACTGTGGTTTCTATCCATGGTCCTGCTGCCCGGAGAGAAACAAACACAAAGAAATATGCACACGAAATGACAGCACTTCCATGTGTTTAAATATGTTAAGAGTTGTTATAGTGTTTATAACAGGTTGGATTTTATGCAATTTCTATAGACTATTAATTGGCCTGAACTAATAACTATGTTATGAGGATGGTGTCCAGGTCATTTCTGGCATTTTTTTGTCTTTGCTTTTATCATCACTGATTATCCACCCTGCTGAAGTCCATAATCTTGAACCGTTAGAAGTTTCCCCCCTGTGAACCATGTGAAGTTCTACCAGTCTCGTCCAAATGGTTTGTCTTTTGCCATCTGGACCTATGAGCTAAAGTGAAAATCCAGATGTTCCCACACTTGTCAGTACTTGTGTGACAATGGGTGTAAGAACTTACTGCCACTTTAGGGGCAGCGGCTGGCTTAATTTCTGAGAAGTTTCCTTGACTCACCCCCAGTAACAGTAAGCTGTCACACACTAACATGAAGTTATGTGATAACAGGAGTGATTCAAGAGTGACTCATTTCAGGATCAGAGTGGGCATCAGGTTTAGGTCAGGTTTGGGATAGGAGGCCAGGCCACACCCTATGACCTCAGTCCTGTGACGTAATGCTGACTGCTTTGGTGATGTAATCTGTAGTATTTTGGTTACCAATCTTCCTCGAGTTCTAACAATAACCTCTCCTCTCAGTAATGACCTTCCAGGAACACGTTGCTTGATAATCTGGCTTTTGGAAGACATCCATCTGGTTGTTCCAGTCTGTGCAATTGCTGCAGTGGTTAATGTGCTTATTTTAAAACCATGCTGCTGTTTTAGTTAAATGTCAATTTATGGAGGTGGGTAACGCTTTTTGTGTTATACTTCATGTAAAGGTAGGGGGCGCTCTCTGTCCAGATATACCAAGATCAGAGTTAGCAGACAGACATGTGAAGCATGCTGAAAATATTTAAACATGGAGTTTTGTCATAAAAAGCTTGAACTTTGAAGAGTTTCCCATGTTATTTTTTTCAATCGTTTATCCTGAAGACAAATCACACACACACACACACAGTATTTTGACCCTGCTTCATGGTGAAAATGTGCATTCTGGAGGAAAACTACATTGTTTGAGTATTAGAGCTCTTCCGTTCAAAAGGAGACTGGATGGAACAAAACCTCAGTTGCCTGGAAAATCAAAGTGCAGGAATGCATGACTGGTTTTGGGCACCACAGGACAGGCCTAGAAGGCAGAACCCTTTCAGAAAGTAAACACTCCTCCTTTCCAACGCTAATATTTCGTCCACCCTCCTCTTCAGAAAGGGGCCGTTGGCTGAATCTGCATTTTCAGCTTCTGTTCTTGCAAACAGCCGAACGCAGATGCATGCGACTCCAGGCTTACTCCTGCACCCAGGAATAAACATCCTGACAGACAGATTAAAACAGCCAGACGTACATGCACAGAAGCAGGGGATACGCACGCATGACATATGCATATACGCAGGCAGACACACAGACCCATGATCTCACACGTGAAGCTCAATATAGCAAATGCCTGGTAAGGATTAGTGATCGCACACCCTCTCCCTGCAGCACTAGTGCCCCGTGTCATCCAGCTGCCTTTGTGTTCGTGGCCGTGTGGCATGTTCTCACACAGGTCCCTGATGCACATATTCCACTGTCCCCTGCCATCCCCCCCCCCCCCCCCCCCCCCCCATTCCTCCGGAATGCAGAATGACATGCTGCACACATCCGAGAATCTGTGTAACCCCCAGAGTGACATTTTGTGTGGCCTGTTACTCGCTTGACAGTGCACCGGAAGTCAGAGGCCGCCTAGTTCAAAGGTGTCTTTTTTGGTAGCTATATTTATTCCGCCGCATCAAACCGTCCCTTCCAGCCTGAAACCCCTTGCCCACACTGAAACCGCACATCTCTGCTCGACATCTGCTGAAAAATAAGCACACCGCTTGGCCTAATAAGCGCGTTATCTGCGTGGCTCATGTTCTTTCTCAATAAAGACAGTTTCACTTGATTTGGTTAACTGAGAAGAGTGTCTGAACACTGGACAGATTGCAAAGATTTTATACGCGCGATCCGTCAATACACTTGTGATATACGAGCCCTGGGGGATTTCTTTCCCTGATAGAATTATTTACAGGTTACTTTCAATGGCGGCGCCCTTAACAAAAGCTTCAGAGGCCATTAGGCATGTCACTGTGACAAAGAGACTCTTCGTCGAGCTAAAGCTCATGTTCAAAGCTGCAGCTGCAGCTCAGACGTGCCGTTCGTGCTGGTTTTTGATGTCTTTGTTATGAGCGGCACGGTAGAATAAGCCGGGATAGCTGCCCAAGTTCACCTGCGGGCTATTCAGTTGTGACCCCCCACCCCCGACCCCCAAGGGGCCGTCCCACAGCCCAGAGGGAGACTCCCTCAGAAGCTCCACATCCACTAACCACAGTCTAATCTACAACTCAGTTTTGTTCTGTTTCTCCTGTTTACTTGTTTGACTCCCAGCATGCTAGGCAGCCTCTACAATACCTTAAGGCAGTTTTTCCCAATCCAGTACTCAGGGACCCGCAGACGGTCCATGTTTTTGCTCCTACCGAGAGCTGGGAGGGAGCAAAAGTGTGGACTGTCTGGCAGGGAGCACAGAGGGTGCAAAAATGTGGAGCGTCTGTGGGTTCCCGAGGACGGGGTTATGGAAGCACTGCCCTAAGGCACGCGGACACTGATATATACACACTCACACAGACTCGCACACACAGCTGCACACAGGTGCTTGTGAGTGTCTGTTTAATGTATACATGACCAGAAACTGAACCACGGACAACTGAAGAACTGAAAACTGAGGAAGGCGACGCTACCGCTGCCCACATCGACACGAGGCAGACGTGTATTTTCCAGTAACCGGGAATTGAAAACTGGAACCACGGCAACATTCCAGGACACACATTCTTACAAATTTACTTTCTGAGTCATTGACATACATGAAAATGCTCCCCCACCAAACCCATATGTATTTTACTAAATTAGTCACGTGAGTGAAATGGAAGCTGTTGACAGAATACTATGCTGACGGCTAGTCCAGCTACAGCAGACTTTCCAACTTTCCTTAAATAATCCCATGTGACGTAACCCTGGGTGCAGACCAGTGCCATCAGATTCCAAAGAGAAGCCTGTGACATGATATTTCCGCTTTCAGGAAGTTGACACCTTGGACGAGCTGGGAAAGCTGAGACGCCTCCTTCTGGACCATCGACGCAATGCATGTATGGATCAGAACCCCTGCAAAAGTTCTTCTCAGCTCGCTGGTGCTGATCAGCTCAGTGACTATGAGATCTGATTCCCAGCCAGAAAACACCACGGGTGTCGTTTCTTGTCCAGATGCCTGATGTCATCCTGCTTATAGTCTGTCTCGCTGCTTCCGTTCCCTTCACTATTTCCCATTCACTTTTCCCATACATCCCACTACACACAGAGCAGCATACACAAGCAAAAACACATCCATCTACCAAATACACCCTCGTTATTCACTATGGGCAAGAAGACAGTGGCTCTGCTGAGGGTTTTGTGTGCAGTTGCTGGCTAGGAGTTCGTCGTAAGCCAGCAGTTTCCTACCGTCCTGCTTAGCTGTGCGACACAAGCCCACCTACACAGTGAGTACAAACCATTCTCTCATTTTCCACAATGCGACCTGTGTACCTTCCGCCCCCCCTTGTTTCATGTGAGGTCCCATGAGTGCCCTTGCCCCCCCAATCCCCACACGTTTCCTGGGCCCCCATGTTTGGGTCCCTGCCAGCTACCAGCCGGAAGTTTCACATAAGAAATTATTTACTTTACGAAGCTGTGCCCAGTAAAATAGCAAAGCATTTCATGTGTCTGCATTTCAGAGAAATCTACAGAATAAACAAGAGTAGATTCAAAGCGACATTTCACTTCAGGCAAATAATTATTACTTCAGCTTGGATCTGTGATGGATACAGGGCAGGAGAGCTGAGATCTCGTAGGAGTCTGAAGGTGCCCCGAGATGCCAAAGGTCCAACGTGAGCCCAAGCAGCAAAGACGCATCTTTGTGTTGCGACCGATTTCAGTTTTATCTACCAGGAACAGAATGGAAAAAGCAGAGATCTCGCTGCATTTTTTCCTTCCCTTTGAGACTGTACTGGTTTCCATGGATAACCCAAACGCTGCAGGAGCTTCACAAAAGGCCTGTTGGCTCAGTGGAGAGGCTCGGTATGGGTTGTGGGG